AATGAATCATTTGACTGTGCTATTGGTTTAAACAGGAACATTAACACTGACATGTATTAACAACATACATTAAGACACAATAATATTCCTTATTACAATTATATTTATGAATAAAATATAAAATATATATCCTTTCGCGACAAAAGGAATTGCTTCTCTCTGGAATTTTAATCCAAAACAAACAAATTAATTCTTCTTTGGTATTTCTCGATTTTTAGCGAGAGATATAAATTAATACTGATGCAATTCGAAAAGTATTGAAATAGCAGTTCAATTATACTTTAATATTCTTTTTTAGGAATCAAACAGAATTTCATTAATTGATTGAATTTTTTTCATGCTTAATTTTTTGCTAATTTTCTTTAAAATCTATTTTCTTCAAAAATTACGTAAAGAATAACTTATTATTTAGAATAACTTATTATAACTTATTATAACTTATTAACGAATAACTTATTATAACTTATTATTTATGCATTATTACAACTCAAATCTTCATAGCAATTCATTTTCCTCTTCCGACCACTTCCGCTTCATATTCGATGACAATTACGCGTTAAAAACGTTTGTGCGTGCGCAGGACAGCATACGTCAACTGGAAATGTAAATTCTGTAGGATGATTAGGTTATTTAGGCCGTGATCTTCCCTTACAACAATTCATTTCGCATACCTCTCTCATTGATTGCGTTTTTGCCGCTCGAGATAGTTATGCTAATCACCCGATGATTTGAAATCCTTCGACTAAATTTTTGCAATGTGCTTTTTTTAATTCCATTTAATTTTTAATTCTCCTATACTTAGTGAAATATTTCGGTTAAATTTCGCGAGGGCATTTTACTCATAAATATTTATATTTATTTATTACTCCTGCATGAATTATTGGTGTTTAAAATTTTTTAAATTTTCAAATATTGCTAAGAAGATTGTAGTAAAACTGAATATTTTTTTTAGAATTTTTTGCAAATCATATTTTAGAATTTTTTGCAAATCTCTTTGCAACAACGCAGCGGCAGCTGGAGCGAACGATCACCCTGGATGAAAATGACCGAAACTGAATGGGTTAAGGTTTGCTTGACCTTTCTTATAATTAGTCATTGAAGGCTAACAGATATATTTCAAAATCAAACAATCAACCTTTTTGTGAACATTTCAGATACCGCATACATTTCAAGTACACTCGTATAAACGACCAACGGTATGTCAGTATTGCAAGAAGTTATTGAAGGGTTTAATACGACAAGGACTACAATGTCTTGGTTTCTTAAATTTAATTTTAAAAAAAATTCGAATTCATTTATGTTTTATCTATACTTTAATCAATTTTTGACTTTTTAGTAAATTTGGATGAAAAAAGTTAAAATTTAAGAAATTATTTAAAAGACTTATCTGTACGTATTTCATTTCAGATTGCAAATATAATTGTCATAGAAAATGTGTTGAAATGGTTGGGGACAATTGCCATGGAAGTGGTACCACAATGTTGAACATGCAACTTGGAATACATGATGAAGGCCATAAGCTTACAAAATTTAAATCTGAAAAAATAAATTTAATAATTTTGAGGACTATTATATCTACAATGCCTTTATCAAATAAATATGAATTATACTGATGAAGTTATCACCTAGATTTTACAAGACAATTTTAATTTATAATTTTTTTAAAGATCGGAAGCAAAAAAACTGAAAGATAACAAAATCTAGCAGCAAAGAGCGAGTAATACAAAAATATATATTAGATCTTTTAAAGCCGAAATTAATCAAAATGCCTGAAATATTCAGTTTTTAAAACCTAAACCAATTTAGTTAAAGTTGGGGAATAAACCTTAAAAAAGTTTTCAAAACTTAAAAAATTAACTCAGGGCAAAAAAGTCTTAGATATTTCAGAATCTATGAAAAATAGTTTTGGTGGTAGTATGAAGAATTTACGGATGTTTAGCGACCCATATGATTCAGATAACGACGATGACGGTAATATACCAATAATTCAAAATTGTTTTAAAATGTGGGAGAAGGAAAGTTTAGATCCAAATCCATCTCAGCTGTAATTTAAAATCAGTTCAAACAAATGCAGTTTTGATTGTTTTTCAGTATTCTTCTATATCAAATTCTTTATCGATTTTTAATTGGATAATTTAAAAAATGATGATATGAAGTTATTTTAAAGGATAAAAACATCAGCAACTACATTTTCAGTTAAAAAAAATTTTTAATGTAAAAATGTAAAATTTTTAGATTTCAAATGATCCGATTGCAGATAAAAGTTCGGTAGGACCACCTGAAAATCTTGATAATTCTGCAGTAACGATAAAATCACATCACGGCAGGGCTCAAACAACTCCAAGTGCTCCCCTGAGAGCAACCGATATCAAAAATAATGATCAGAATGTACCGCGCAACGATGTTGACATTCTGATCGATTCACAGGTTTATACTCATTTTACATGGTGATATCACTCAAGATTTGGAAACATTCCAAATTTTCATACAATTAGACCGGGAAATCACATATGATTCGAACGATCATTTATCGATCACTTCTCTGCAATTGACATTGCTTTTTTTTAATTGAATTATCAAATTTAAATCGTAACCGGAAATGAATTCAATTCCTTTGTCCTCAACCGGATCACTTCATCATCCATCCCTATGGAGAAGGTGAAACACTTCCGCTCACTCATCCTCTTAGCAAGCGAGAAGTGGAATAAGGCGATGACTCATCTACTATCTATCAGTGACTCATTGCAAAGGCCTTTCTTTCTTTCCAGTACTTGGAGAAAAAGTAGCCTCGTGGCTAATAATGTTAACTTATCTTGAACTTTCGATATAACTTTAGAATGTAGCACATGAGCCTTGAACATATATCCCTAAATACATAAACTTGCAGTCTAATTGTATTTGAGATTAAAATCCTTCGAGAAGAAAATTAAATTTAAATGTTTCAACTGGATTCAGTTTCATACTATTACTAAATAAAATAAGTAGAATTTTTTATATATTAGAACATTCCGCTGATGCGAATTGTCATGTCGAAGAAGCAAACTAAGCCTTATAAGGCCAAGATATTGGAGGAAGGCTGGATGATGCATTACACAAATCGTCAAACCACGGTTCTCTTCCTTTCATTTTGCTTAAAATACTTGAGAAATATAAAAGATTTTTGTCAAATTCATTGAAGTTAGTTGCTTGGTTTTCAAGCTCACTTGAACTAATTAATAAATTTGTTCAATCTTATTTATTTGCTTAATTTCCTTCCTGAACTATTAATTTCTGTTATAGCGTAAGAAGCATTACTGGCGTCTGGATACAAAAGCAGTCGTTCTTTATAAGGATGACTTGTCGACAAGATTCTACAAAGTTAACAGTTTGAATTTTACTTCCAATTTTACTTCATTTTTTCAAGTTAACAAAATCGGAGGAAAATTTGGCGTAATTGAAATTTTATTATAAATTCCAATTTTTTAATTAAACAGCTTGTTAAACTTATTTCCTTTAGTATATTCTGAAAAATTTTGAGAAATTATAGGAAATCCCGTTAAGTGAAATATTGGATGTGAAGTATACACCTAATAATAATCTCGAAAATACAGCTAATTTATTAGAAATTCGAACCCGAACATCTACTTACTACATGAGTTAGTTAATTTCCTGATAATTAATAATATTATTAAATGAATACGAATTTGATAGAAAGAGCAATATTTCCACAAGTTCAGTATTTAATATGGTCAAGTCAGTTCTTTTTTGAATTCTAACGATATGCTGTTATAAAATAACAAAATATCTCATTTATTTGCTTTTCTTTGAAAAGTTTTCGCCTCACTTTTTTTCTTTTTTTGTGACTGATAAACAAACTTCGATTCAGTTCTATGTAAGATTTTCTAAGAGTTTGAAAATTAAATTTTAGAAATTCCAGAATTTTAGTATAAAAACTGCAAAAATTTGAAGATAGTGAAGAAAAAATGTTAAACTGTCGATCAGATGTGATCATAATTTAACATTTTTTCTTCACTATCTTCAAAAAAATACCGAACAATGACGAACGCAATTTTTTAAAATTTCATGTGCCTTGTTTTCATTTATTTATTCATTTATTTTCCTTTTTTTGGAATGAAAGATAAGTGACAATGATTGTGTAACGCAGTTTAAAGTTCACTCATCATTTTTGTATGCCAACAATTAAATAGGATGATGGGATGTGAAGATTTTCATGGTTGTTTCTTTTTTTAAAATTATGTCATCTTTATTATTTAGTAATGGGTTTTTGTCACTTTATTGGTATAATACTGATAGCCGAATTGACCAAAATATATGATTAGTCGTGGAAAGGTGAACTTTCCCACTTAAACTTTTCACATCATTCAACGAGAATTATTTAGCGTTTCATTATCAATAGGTTTAAAATGGAAAAAAATTAACTAGCAAGTCTTGAATTATTTTATATTTTTAATAAATTTACAGATGAATTCCTAGCGAAACTAACTGTATGTGTAGTATAGAATGAATTCCAAGGAAGATAGGAAGATAAATAGGTTCAGATACGGTTGTAATTTGTGGCTTTTAACCTCTCACCCTATATGAAGTGGAATGAAACGTAGTGTCCATATTCTTTATTAAGAAAAGATATTTACATTTTAATCATATATTTAGTAGGTTTAAAGAAATACGCAATATAGTTACATTATCCAGTTATATATCGTTTCATTTTTCCAGAGCCGTACTAAATAACTACAGATTGAGTAAGGTAAGGTGAAATGAGGATTATTGTTGATAATATATTCTTAGTTTTCCATGTAATTTTTCTCGATTTATCTTTTCTGATAACCGAAGGTGACATCGCGAAAGAAATGATCATTTCATTAATTGCAATCATTATAAAGTTCTCACAGTCATAGATTCGAAGCATTCCGTGGGTAACAAGAATCCCAATGAATGGTACCATAAATCAAACAAAAATTGTGTATTTATTACTGATAGTATAACATACAAAAAATATTCGTTCTTTTCTCACTTATAATTGAAGTTCCTTTTTTATAGCTGTTTCGAGATTCAGCTGTTATTTCTGAATTTTTCTGGTCATCTTTGCTGTAATAATTTTTTAAGATATTTGGTATTTTGAAATCAAGAACATTTATATAATCGATGCTATAAAATCATATAACATGAAGAAATTTCTATGAACACGTCAGGTACTCGTTCAGAATTATGTATTAAATTTTATAATTCATTGTTGTGAATCTTAAATCCGACCATAATATCATTTTGCAAAACAAATGTGTATTATAAACGTTGATAATATTAACGTTCCATTAGCAAAAAAATCATTGCAATAATAAAGCTGAAAAAAGAAAAAGAATTATGGATTGCAACCTGCATGTGATTCATCATTTATAAATGCGAAAATGGGAACTGTTTAATTCCAAATACAATTCAACACATTTTTTTGCGCCCACTGTCTGTCTAATAAACAAAGCTTTCTTTCATTTTAACACTTTTTTCCAAAAAATTTCTCCGGGATTCTTGATTTTTTGTTCCTGTAAAGAATTGTTTGTTTATTTTGTTTGTCATCATTTGTTCTTTACTCTCTTCTGAGTTATGAGAGCTTTTTTTTCTTCTTGCTTATAATAATTAGATAAAGATTAGACTTATTGTATTCCAAGTTATTTTCATCCATTTTTTTCTGTCCAAATATTTTTAATTCTATTTTTTAAAACATTTCGATTTTTGCAAAAATCTTTGAAATAAGCTATTTTGTCTTTTTGCAACTCCGCCAAATAAAACTATTTAATTCAATTAGCACAAATTAATGATTGGTGGAAAATCAGAAGTTATGAAAAGATCACTTTTAGTCTGCACTTATTTGAAACTTTTTGTTCACAGCAAAAAGTTTCCAGTCGCAAAAGATTTTTTCTCAGGCATATCTGAATAATCAGTGCAAGTTTGGAAATTTCAGTTATTTCAGCTATTTTCAGCTATACTTAGCGGTGGGATTGCTTTACCAGAGCTAAAAAAGTTTGATGCAAAATTTAATCAGTTTTCAAAAGATGATTTCCTCAACTGATCCCTCTCATATGAAATATTACGTGAAGAGAAGTGCACCATATCTTATCACTTTCCGTCCCATAAGATTGAAAATTAATCATAAGATTGAATAATTAATCAGAAGATGGCGCAAACAGTGATGTGTTGAGTTTTATAATTTTGTATTCTTTATTCGTTATTTAACATTTATTTGCTGTTCTTTTTGGCTATTTATTTCTTTTTCTCAAACAAATTATCCAAACCATTTGACTCACAGAGTTTTATTCATGTGTGATTCATCTTTCTCAGCAAAATTTTTTTTTCATATTTTCAGTATCGTTGAATTTTTTCGTTTCGTTTGTTTTTTCAATATTCTTTATACATCAATTATAAATAAATAATGTGATTTATCCTAGCATGAAATTTTAACATACTTCGCAAAATTTAAAGTAGAGAAAATACTGAAACTGACGAATAAAGAAGCCAGATATCGATATCATCCGGATATAATTCAGTTTGATAAGAGGTAAGTCAAGAATTCACTCAGTAAATTTCCTGTAAACATATCCATCAGTGTTTAAATTATTACTGTCTTTAAATTGATTATATAGCAGTGTTAGAATTTCTAAATTTTGTATTGCTTAAATTTTTTTATGAGTTAATTTTCTGATTTTTCTAGGAAATCTTTTGTTGAAGCCTTATAAATTAAAAATTTCGCTATTTTTTTTCACAATTCAAGTTCAGACTTTGTTTCGGTCTTTATTCAAAGGCAATTATATTTTATTCGTCACATATACTATGTAGTTTCTGTGATTAGATTAATTAAATAAATAAATGGTAATAAAAATTTCCTTGTGAGTCGAAAATTCCTTGTAAATGAAATGGATTTGAGGATAATTTTGTTATCACAAAAAGGAAAAGAGAATAGAATGAGAATAGTAAGGACGAAAGTGAGGAGAATGGCTTTATTACTTTTTAAACTCTAGTTTTTTTGAATTATCCCAAAAATACATATCATATCATTTCTTACCTTATCATTAGAATTGACAGTTACAAATTGAAGTAAAATGAGAATGATATCGCCACATTGTCCATTCTATCTGATTATCAACTATAAACTTTTTCGTTTCAATTCAGAGCTAATGAGTTTTTCATTGGTAATTTTCCAATGCATGAAGATGTATTTATATTTATCGATGATGTTTATAAGATTGTGAGATCTTTTAATAATTACTCTTTTTTTGTTGTTGTCTGGATTAATTTCATTTCAATGTCCTTTAAATTCATCCGATAATGTTGTTATCGATAGTTTTATTAATGCGCATTGTTTGTCCATCATTTTCACTCTACTCATTGGCTTTACTAAATGAAAAACTATTCATAGTTCTTTGATCATTTCAATAGCCGTTTGTGTTTGGAATGGATATTTATAACATGATTTTCTGCACGTATATTCTAATTTTTATTTTCCCTTACAATCATTCAGATTTAAACATTTGATAGATAATTTGATCTTTCATCTACTAAATTTTTTTTTGAGAGAAATTTTTTGAGAAATTTGAGAGATAATTTGATCTTTCATCTACTAAAATGTACATTTCGTATTTCCATTAAAAATTACTTCTAAAAAACTAAATTTTAAATCATTATTTGTTTGCCTATTTTTCTCTTTCCCTTTCTCTATTTGTCTTTCCCATTTTTTTCCTATCTGTTCAATGAAATTGACGTAAAGTTTAATGCTCTATTTTCTCAATATTTATCACTTTTTCATTCGATCGGCCAACTCTCAATAATACTCGTAGTAACCTAATAGGCATATTCTCAGGAAAAAGGCCTTACTACTGCTACTTTTCAGCTTACTTTTCTATCATTTATTACACTCAAAATTAGCAGAACTTTTTTCTTTCCCGAATAATTATTTTTTATTGAAAAGAAGTTCAAATGCAGAAAACACTCACACATACATTTCTTTTTCCAACAGATTTTGCATGATTAAAAGCTATCAGCAAAAAATTCGATACGTGCAATATGTACCCGCAGTAATGTTGTAAATTAAATGAATGATCGAGTCAAATTAATATTGAAAGTTATTTGTCACTCAAGTTTTATCAATTATGTTAACCGTTTTAGTAACGTATTGTTTAATGAAAAAGATTAAAATAATCTGTGAAATGAATAAGTTAGAAATAATTCAGATTAATTTGTGACTGTAGTAACTTTAATCATTGAGAGTTTTGGAAAAAAGAACTATATATATAGATTAATATAGTAATAATTTTCTTTTAGTATCAATGGTAGTTTATACAGAAGAGCTTCAAAACCCCCATGTGCTGATCCTTAAACTGTAAATTCTTGTCCTTCTTACTTTTAATTTTCTCATGCCCAATCCGTAATAACATAAGAAAAGTAAGCCTAATGTACTTTGGAAAGGTTGAAATCAAATATTGCCTATATGAAAATTGATGACATCACAATATAGAACATAAAAATCAAACTATTTCGTCGTGATTTATACATAGCTTTATATGGGATTAATAATATTATCGTAAATGTTTTTCACAAAAATAAACGTTATTTTCATTAGTCTTACAGTTGCGCTTCAGGAAGATGCTGACTAACTTTCTTCTTGATTTTTTATATTTATGTTTGAACGAATAAAATTTCGCTTTCAGCAGAATTACTACAATTAACATATATTGTTGTCATGCTCAAAAAGTAAACTTTATCTTTTGAAAGGTCATCATCATAGGTTAAATTATAGAAAAACTCTCTTAAATTTGTTGCAAATCATATTAGTGTTGGAAAGTAATCACTGGTGCAATCACTGGTGTTCGTCAAATCAGACAAATCAATTCCTTTATTTCACTTCTTTAATATATAATTGATCTGTTTCGAGCCATTTATACTGAATTATTGAAATATTTAGCATTAGTTTAGGCAGTATAAATAGAAAGAGATTTTTTTAATAGCTCTAAAAAAAATTTAATTCAAATTAAAAGTCATAACGACGATCACTAGTTATAGTTTTTTTAAAAATTAGTGTACATTTTTGGAAGAAATTTTATTTTAAATTAAATTAGATATTGTTAAAATTCTATCAAGTATAAGAAATTATTTTACGAAACTGTAATAGTTATCCATTTTGATTTGCTTATTGTGAAATCTTCATAAATACATTTAACAACGCACTAATATCCTCTTATTGGCTGCTGTATAAATCAGAGGAGGAATTATTCTCTTTTTGATCGATGATCAAAAAATGTTACGGAGAACATTATCAATATATAAGAGCAAATCCGAAGCTTACATGATAGTATGTTTTTCTATCCTCGTTTTTGAGAGAATAGATATTTTTGAATGAGTAATATAGATAAAAACTATTATGCGATAGTGAAAGCAAATAACATGCGAATTGACGGTTTTCTTTTTTCTCTTCTCAAAAGAAATCAGTGAAAGCAATTCGGTTTGAATACATTTAGAGTTTGATTAATGGTTGAATTCAATGATATTACGGACTAAAAATTTGTCACGATGGCTTGTCATTCATTTTACTACAACAACACTATCAATGTTATCATCGTCTGTTACCGCTTCCTATTTTTATTTTCGTATATCTTCCATTCTTCGCTCGGCGGACATTTTTCTTCTTAATTTTATCTTTTTCATATTCCATATAAATTCCTTTTTTCGTGTATTGAATGAAGGATATGCTGAAAGATTGTATTGATTGGATTACATGCCATATTAGTAAAATATTTGCTTTGGATGATTTTAAAAATGCTACAGACCCGAGAGATTTGAAAACTTCTTCCAGAATTGTTAAGATGCCACCGATCATCCAATTTAGTTATTCATAATTTTGAACTAAATAATAGAGAAAGATAGGTAAACTTGAATTCAAAATCTCCAAACTTCCAGCATATAATTATATCTATTTCCGATTTAAATTTACATACGGCTAAATTTACCAATGCTCTAATTCAGTTAAGATTATCCTATTTCTTCAAACTTTTCTTCTCTCTTTCTTATTTTCTTATTAAATTCTTGAACTTTCCTTATCATTTATTATCAATTTTTAATTTCAATTTTACATTCAAAATGAAGCGGAGCGTCTGCTAATTGATATCATTTTCTTTCCGATTGATGAGGACTAACTTGTAGAATGATATCAGATGCTGTTAATTTATATACGGCTGTATCGTTCCGTCCAGTTCGATGTTTTTCAATCTTATTTCAAAAAAATATTTTAAGAAAAACTTTTCGCTCTTTTTCACTTGCGAGTGAAAAGATAATAATTTGTCTTTTATTCACTGATTATAAAATTTACTTCTGTCTTAAAGTTACAAATCTTACTGTTTAAAACATTTTGTTTCGAAAAATAGAGGACAGTTGAGATTTAAAAAAATGAACGAGAAAATCAGAATCAGTTTTGGAAAACAAATTCTGACTTTATTACTCTCGCTCCATAAAGTCTTACATTTATCACTTTATCAAAAAATACGTAATTTTATTTTTTCAAATAGTAATTTTAGAAAACATTGCTTCTATATTTATTTAGTTTGTCTATTTTGAATTTTTAACTGAATTAGAAATTTAAATCATTATCTGTTCACGAAGACCAGATGTTCCCTTACTTATAATTAAATTAAAATGAATTTGAAATTATTTCCATCTTGTATATCGTAAGATCATAAAACGCATTCATTACTACTTGTGATGGTATCATTTCTCTACCAATGTTATTTTTTTTCTAAAACATCTTTGGGTATAAGTTTTTGCATCAAATTAATAAATCCAGTTTTAATGATTGTAGGAAGATGTCTGTTTCTTGACTGTAATATGAAATCATTAAGAGAATACTTGACTATTAGTGTTAAATTAGATTTTATATGACTAATATTCATTAATAAGTGAGTAATTTATTTTACTTACAAACTGTTTTTTTTCACTGCAAGCGATGCTATTTTCATTTTTCAAAAAGTTTGATTTGAATAAATTTTTTCGTGTTTGCATGCATTAAATAAAGATTTGACGATTTAATCATTATTTCTGAGTCTCAATTTCATTTTGATTCTTGATCTTTCCAAGTTAGCTTATATAGTTTTTAGAAAGTGGAAATTAGTATAGCAGGAATGTTTCTCTTTGTACTTTGATGACTTTTTGGTCCACACGATCTAATCGGTTTCTCATGTCTCTATTGATATTTTTTGGAAATTTTAGAGAGTAAGGACAGAAAATAAATTCAAAGACAAAAAATTTTTCTTGCTCAAACAATTTTATGATATTTCCTTTTTCATATTCCTCAAAAATACATATCAGATGCTTTTTACGGACTTTTCGTGGGAATGGTTGTTTATTGCGAGATATAAATTATAAAAAATATCAGTTAATATTTGAAGGTTATTATCGTTACGGTGTATGTGTTACGGTTATGCTGTTCTGATGCAACAAACCAATGTACTATCCATTGATTCATTTTACACCATCGCTACGATACCTGACAAGTGCGCAAAAGTCCATACAAGAATATAGCGCAGGAAGTGTTACAACTATTGATACGAGTAGTTGCAGCAGTAATACTAGTCCATCAATCTTGTCATTAAGTAGTCATCAGCAATCAAATGCTACCTGTTCATGGTCCAGTTCCATCGATATTCCACGAGTTCACTTAAAATGTTATCAGATGAAACCTATCGATAGTACAGACAAACAGCGATGGTTGCCACGATGCAATCACTTTGGTAGTGTCGCTTACAGCTCATTTATAGCTATTTGGACTTCGATATTCAAACAGTCCAGCAGCTATTTTACAGTTTCTTTTAATTTATTCTCATATTTTCTTATGCTTCAAAACACATTACTGTTACTTTTCTTTTGATAAAAAGAAAAACCTTTCTAATAGTAATGTGTCAAATTGATTTTAACATTTTGCATTATTTATTTTTAATCTTGAAAATTATTTAAAAGAAACTGCATTATGCAAGTGTGGCATTTATTTTTAACTCCAGAAAATCTGAAATTTAAACAAATTTAGAATTTTGAGCTTAAAATATTCCAATCTTCCAAAAATTTATGGAAATTAATTCTCTTATACCACAATGCAAAAAAATTGCGATTTCCTACTGTGCGCAACAAAAAAATTTTGCAAAAAAATTGAAAATTATACTCGGATTTAAACTATATTAAAAGTCATTTCGAAAGAGAAAGATTTAAAAGAATGTCTTGGCTTAGTGGATTAAATGATCTGATGATCTGCTTGTGTAATATTTACATAAATAGGAAAATATTTAATTAATGAAAAATTCTATCACTTCAAAGACATTTAATGATGCCCTTGAAAGTTGAGATGAATAGTTGAGCTTCAGCTGTTTAAGATTGTTTTTTAAGATAAAACGTAGTTAACTAAAATCGTCCGCCTTACAGTTAATTTTTCAGCTGTCATAAAATTTTTAATTGTGCCGCTTTGAAAACAATGACGTAAACATTTTGATCTAAAATTTTATGATTATAAAAAATGAACGGAAATTTTCACTTTAAGGATAATTTGTCGTCAAAACTGATGTTATTTTGTAGAGGCTGGACATTCACTTTCATTTTCTGTTTGTCACATCACACATGCATTATATATTTTTAAATAATTGAAAAGCTTAATCTAAAATTAGACTTCAACTCCAAAATATGACTTTTTTGTTAAAGATAGAGTATATTCTCTCGAGGAGGTGCATACGCTTCACTTCTTTTTTTTGTTCAATTTAAAATTTAAGCGAAAAATTCTGGATGTATTTTAATTTGTCAAAGTGTAATTTATGCCGCAAAATAAATTTAAAATATTTACTGACGAAATTGGTTGTTTTCTATTTGCCTATTTCATTATGCATTATACAACTGATATAATACATCAATAATGTTTTCTAAGCTGGTGATCCGACAACAAATACTCTTTGTGAGGGTACCGATGTACTGACCGCTTGGGCGGCATCTATTAGACAAGCTTTGATGCCGATCACACCACAAACAAGTGCGGTCAGTGTGCAAATGCCTATCACAGCGGACAGTGGTCAACAGCAGCAATCACAAAATATACAACAATTCATCAGTAACACTAAAGGCAATTCTTCAAAATTATATTAAAACGTTATTATGTTTACATCATTCCGAAAGTGCTATTTTTATCGATTGTTGTACCGAACTCCAAATTTTTTTTTGGATTTCCCACTTCTGATTGCAATTGTCGCCGCGATCATCATGGTTTCGCGGTTAAATTGAGCACATTATTCAAAGTTTTATATTATTAGGGTTTGATAACGATTGTATGTGATGGGGATAGATAACGATTGTATGTGATCGAAATTGATAGCAATTGTATATGCTCTGCAATTTTATCATTCTTGTGCTTCAGATGAAATGGATCAATTAGGTGTACAATTACGAGATGAGCAAGATTTTTCACAACGTTATCAAATTTTTATCGATGAAATCCTTGGTTCAGGGCAATTTGGGACCGTGTATGGAGGTCTGTCTTAAAATTTATGTTAAAGTTCAAGATTACGCAGTAAAGAATTGAGTTGGAAAGTTGCTGTAAAATCAAGTTCTGATATCATATTTATTGTGCTGATAAGGTTATTAATCGATATTTATTACATCAATTGAAATATACACACAAAAATTGGAATTTGTGTGAAGTTATAAGATCATTAAATGCAAAAAATGAATTGTAGAAATCTTGTCGGAATGATAATTGAAGAGATCTTCAAAATTTAAAAGTGCCGAACAAATTTTAAAAAGGCAAAATTTGAATTATTCGAAAAAGTTTTTTAGTTTTCATAGATTTATCTCTAAAAATAGTTTATTTATTTTGTTGAATTATATTTAGGAATTCATCGAAAAACGGGGAGACATGTTGCTGTAAAATTAATTAATAAAATGAAATTTCCAAACAACAAAGAAGCAGCTCTTCGAACCGAAGTTGACATTTTGAGCGTAAGATTTCTTTTTTTCCGTTTGAAATTTTTATGTGTGTAGAACGTAAACTTTTCAATTTCAACTGCATTTTATACGTTTGCTTTATATTTATGGGAATAATTAAATTCTTTTTCCAATTTACAGAAAGTCGAACATCCAGGTGTGGTGGCGTTCCAGGAAATGCTGGAAACAACGGATCGAATATTCGTTGTAATGGAAAAGCTTAAAGGTGATATGTTGGAAATGATTTTGTGCAGCGAAAGAGGAAGGCTATCCGAACGGGTTACACAATTTCTAGTTTATCAGGTACAAGTGTATTCTTTCAATTCCTAATTAGCACAAATTGATTATAAAGAAAATACAATTTCTCATTCTGTTAATCAGTTACCAGAAAATTCAAGTTTCTGGTAAACCCAATCAAGAGCAACTCGATTTTTCCGCTTCAAATAATGACAAATTTCCCAAAAGAAATTGAAACACTGTTACTATGAATTATGTTTAATTGAAATTTATCATTTTTTTGGTTGAAATTGAAAATTTTGAAAACAAATCTTGTTTTTAGCAATTAATTTTTACTTAGATCTGCACGATCACTGTCTACAATTTAAGCTTAAAATTGATAAGAATGTGATTATATCAGAAATCTCATTGCCAAGTAATGTCCTTTAAACATGTGAATTAGATATAATTAAATACAATTACTTTCCTCCTAATTAAATTTCTATTTTTCTCATTCAGCATTGTACAATTCATTGCATGGATGGAATAAATGAAGTCGTGTAATTCCGATTTTGGTGAATTAAATTCGACACCCTTTCCAGATACTTATTGCACTACGCTATCTTCACAGTTTGAATATCGTGCATTGTGATCTGAAACCCGAAAATATTTTGCTAACTTCAGATTCGGACTTCCCTCAGGTGATCTTTTTTTGCTTTCAATTATAGTAGCGTAATTTATGCATCTATGTAATTTTTATTTTTTAATCAAATTAAGCATTTTAAAGGAAAGTTTTAATATTTTTTATTCCTAAAAGATAATATTTAGTTCCTTTTTTTCTGAATTCCTTCTATTTTTTTTAAATATTTTACTAGACAGAAATTTAAAATAATTCTCAATACAAAATATTTAATCGACGGTCTAATTTTAGAATCTTTTTCTCTAATTGTATGAATTCTAGGTGAAACTATGTGACTTTGGTTTTGCTCGGATTATTGGTGAAAGAGGATTTAGGCGATCTGTTGTTGGCACACCTGCTTACCTTGGTCAGTCGATTCTTTAATCTATTTATTTTACTATAATACCAAGGATACCGATTGAAATAATATGAGCATTTATTTAAAAGAAGAATTTGTATGTAAGAATTAGAATTCACCAAAACATTTTCTTTATTTTCGTCATTCTTGCAAATTACTTTTTTCTATCGCAAATTTTAAGTGAATCAATATATTATACAAACATTACTATTCGTTTTCTTTATCTCAAAATTGGATATTTTATTATCATATACGTGCAAAGCTTCTGTACAATATTTGTTCTTCTTGATATCTACCTATCAACATTATACGATATAGACCTAAGCTAAGACATTATACAAATTAGTATTTGTCAATTTTAACCATTTTTTGCCTTCATTGATAAAATCCGACGATTGACCGTTGATTTTTAAGCCCCAGAAGTGCTGTGTAATAAAGGCTTTAATCGGTCGTTGGATATGTGGTCCGTTGGTGTTATCGTGTATGTTAGGTTAGCTTTACGTTCCGGAATTTTTTCTTAAATTTTTCCAAACGGTCGAGAAATGCCATTTACTACAGCTGCTAATGTTTCTCCCCTCTCTCCAAATAACTAAAATATTGTAAATCATTATTAATAAAATAATTAGTTTCAAAGCAGTAATAGTGTTGCATTGGAATTACATCTATCTTCTCTATTCGTATTTTATTCATCTTTTTAGATATGAAATAATTTGATAAATGATATTATTCTACAACATTGACGATGTTTGAAAATTATTACTATTACCTACGACACCTATAACATCATGACAAGTTGAAATGTTTTTAGTTTGTCCGGCACATTTCCATTCAACGAAGAGGAGGACATTAATGATCAAATCCACAATGCCGATTTCATGTATCCCATAAATCCGTGGTGTGAAATTACAGCTGTAGCAATTGATTTTGTCAACAATTTACTGCAAGTTAAAATGAGCAAACGATTAACGGTGTTGAAAGCGTTAAGTCATAATTGGCTACAGGTAAATTGGCATTGATGACATTGCTTATCCAACTTCTTTTTTATATTTTTATTTTTTCTGGTATGTGCTTTTTTTCGAAACACTTGAAATTTTTTGAAAAGTGATGTCTCAAAAAAACCAACATTCTCAACAACAGCTTTTCGGAAAAGTACGGCATTCTATTCCTTCCTGAAATTTTTCATCAAGTATATATCACATATTTTCCAGAATTATCAGCTTTGGTCAGATTTGCGATCTTTGGAAAAAGAAGTTGGCAAGCGGTTCTTGACGCACGAATCAGATGATGCTCGATGGACAAATTACGAGAATGAACTTGGCCTGAAACCTACTTATTTGTAGAAATTATTACATTATTCTATTGGAAGATGGAGCGGTTTAATACCGAAAATGAAATTTTTTTTACAATAATCTGCATTCAAGCCCGATTTGACAAGCAGGAATTAAACTTTATTCCCAATAAAAATTAAGAAAATACTGGATATCAAACAAAACCGTATCTCTATTACATCAAATCACAGTTTGGCCATTCATCGGTTGGTAACACTTTTGAAAGACCATGATATTTAATGACTAGCACTGTGTAAATTTTTAGATCATCTTTAACCATTAATGTGTCGGTGAAATAAAGAATATGTTCTATCACTATTTTTGGTTATAACTGATATTCCCCTCTCTGATACGTTTTTAAACTTTAGTTTAGAGTTACAGGATTTGAAAGGCATGGATTATGCAAATAATTTAGATAATTCTCTATTCCACTGCTTACAGTGATCCGAGCTATTTGCAGAAGTGAGTATTATTATTACAACAGCTTGAAGCCAAATCAAATCGGGCATCATGGGTAGGTCAAAGTCTCCTTATCGAATTCAAAATTATGCGATAGATTATATTTATAATAAAGGATAGGATGTTTACCACTAATGAGTAATATTAATATGCCGCAATAAACACCGAACTATTTGTTCAGCGCCAATTTTTTTGTAAAGTATCTTTTTTTTCATAATGTATATTTGCAAAATTTTCATGACAATAGAAAAAAATCTATCTGCAATAATATCACACATAATTCAATGAAATAATATATCCAAAAATTGCCCGCACTTGAGTTGATGCAATTTTTTGTGAATATTCCACATGATATTTTTGCTTCAGTTCTGTTTTAATTTCTTTCCAATGGAATAGTCGTACACGTTAGAATTTTAACAGAACCATTGAAAATTATTTTTGCGGCAACTTGGTGAGCTACTAAGCATAATCAGAATGATAACAACGTACATCAAAAAGCCATTCTATTTGAATGTATCAAAGTTGGCGAAGTTCCATTATTTATTTAAATTTCTCGCTCCTTGAGGTAGATTTTTTTCCATAAATCGCCAATAAACTTGAGGAGTCAATATAACTTCAGAAGTAAGACTGATAATAAGAGCGAAAGAAATATTTGATTTTTGTCTAGCACAAATGTTATACAAACTTCTCCAAAACCCTTCCTAAACTAGATTGCGTTTCTAGAAAAATCCAAACAGTGGTAATCAGCAAAGAAGTTTAAGGGACTTAATCGTTAGTTTTAAACTTTGGCATCGATTTCAAAATGTTCCACCAAAAACTGCCTTCAAAACGACGGTAATGAGGAATTATTGAAAGATAGGAAGAGAAAAAAGAAAGGAGTAATGAAAACAGGCTTAATTTTTCAAAAGAATGCTTCCCTACAATCAATTCAACATTATCACTATCATAAAAGCTCTAACTTCAAAAAGCAAAGGTGATTTTGATTCATTCAAACATACTTCCCGCAAATTCTCACCTCAAATGTGTGCATACGTTTTTAAACAATGTTATAAAAGATGAATACAACTGTTTAGAACATGGAATACAAAGGAAACCAAATATCATACAGTTCGGTAGGGATGGAAGCTACAAAATTCATAAATCAACTACCAATGGAGGTATCAGCTGAACAGAAAAATCACCTTCACCTATACTTAAAAGGTCGAAATATGCGTGTTTTCTAAACTACCGTGTTCTGAAAACTTATTCTCGACTTGATAAAGTCGCTTAAGCATTTGAATCAACAAAGAAAAGAGTGTTTTTCAAACGCAAAGCAAGTTAATTCGAATCAAAAAATAAGTGCTGAAGATTTTGATCTGAATCTTTCATCTCATTCTATTTATTGATGGATTAGGGGTATATGAAATATTAAGATATTA